GGCCCAAAGATCACGGCCAGCAAATACTGGTTTTCAGCCTCGTCCCTTACATACAGAGATTTCTTCAGATTCTATTGTTATTATGTAGCGTAGATGATGAAAAGCAAAAGTCCTTTGCTATTTTAGGCTGAGAAACGTTATTCTTGAATTGTTGCACTATTTAATCGTGGTGAACCCCTCCTCATCTTTACTTCTGAAAGACTCAGCCTCTCTGAGATGCTCTTTTGTACCCAATCATGTTACTGACCTGTTGCCAATTAACCACTAGCCTTTTGTTGCCCCCCTGTCCCAACTTTTTTGTAACGTGTCGTTGGCATCAAATCAAAAAGTTTCAACATTTGATTTGATGTCTTTGTACTATTTTCAGTCAAATATAAAGTTTAAATGATTTGCACATCATTGCATTTTGTTTTTATTTACATTTTGCACAGAATCCCAACTTTTTTTGGAAATGGGGTTGTAGTTTCACTTTGTGGTTCTACAGTTACAGACTGTAGTCCATCTGCTTCTCTGCATACCTTGTTACCCTGTTCTCCAATGGTCAATGCCCACAGGACACAGGTTGACACATGTAAATTACCCCTACCTCTATCTCTGATTGGCTGTTCTTAGTCAAAAAAGAAGTCCGGGCTGAAACACCCCTTATAACTTCAGCACAGATGGGTGGGGCTAAACTGCTGCAGGCTAAATAGGCAGGTATATGTTAAATGATTTGATTTTTTGTGACATCACAAAAAAGAGGAATTAAAAATGGGCTGTTTTTGCTTCCATTTGTGGAGCAGGGAGTAAACGGTACGTTTTGAAACTAACACTATTTACCTACCAGATCAAACAAAGAGAATATTTTAATTTTCCATGATACAATCTCTTTAATCCATGTTAACAATATGAATAATTCAATGAGAAAACATTTATACTCAAACTTCTGTGTATCACTGCCCAGAATATGATATGACATGGTCAGTGTGAAACTCAGCTGGGGTTTCTCCTACATCACTGTCCTGTTCCTGTTTCTGCTTTGTCACTGTCTCAAATGTACACCTCTTCTTTTTTTCTTCTCCTCCTCCTACATCCCTCCACCCACAGTGAAGTCTTTAGGTGGAACGGAGGGAGGAAAAAAACACCTTTCACTCTCACTCTCTCTCTCGCTCACTCCTCTCGCTCCTTCGCCACAGAGGGATCAGCGGATAATTACTACACGCCACAGTAAGATAAACCTTTAATTAAACAGCACAGAAAGCAAAGCCCAATCACTGAGAGGAGTGATATGTTGACAAAGTTCTCTCTCTCTCATGCAGTCTCAGCATCAATAATGCATTTCTCATGCATACCACAGCCATAAGCCTATATATAGCCTAAGTAGTCTCTTGCTAAAAAAACAGTTTTTCCATTGCTATTATATATTTACTTCACTTCGTCTATTTCTGTGCATGTTTATCATGAATTATATACATTCATACAACTGAAGAGAAGTTTATCACTCATAAATCCCCTCATGAGCTGAACTAGAGAGCCTGAATCTGGGGTTAATTACCCAGGCTTTGACAGCTTGGCTTTAGAAAGCATCAAGACAAGGCTGTATTACTAAGAGTCGCATTCATGCTCATATTAACAGTCAAAAAAAAGCAAATCTATTCATGTTCTCCATTTTCTCAAAGCAAACACATCTGTAAGCTGTGCATATGGCAATTATCAGGTCAGAAATGCGGTCTTTCCATGTGATGTCTCCATTGACATCACATTCTGAATTACTAAGCTTTCATTTATCCTTACATGATCCACTTCCTGAACTCATTTAGGCCTCAAACCACTTTAAGAATGTGAAATACAAAAGAAGACCATCATACAAGTGCACTATTTTAATGCTTCTCATCTTTAAATGCTAAAAAAAAGAGAAGCACTGGTTAAGGAAAACATGGAAAAGATGAAAAAATGAGCCAAAACAATCTTCAAATAAGTTTTAAATCCCAGCCATGCACAGAGATTCAATGACATGATGAACTCCTGCCCTCTGAAAACAAGCTGGCGAGCTACGGACACATGGAATGTGTTTTTCCAAAACAGACAATTAAGAACACCAAATCCGTTCCATCTCCATCAGGAAACTAACCTCATATGTGAAGCCACGCTTGTGCTCTCACTGGTATTTACTAGGGGTGCACAATGATACGGGAACCATATCAGTATTGGCAGATAACTGTTAAATCAGACAGATGTTCAGATTTAACCGATATTTTATGATATGTTTAAATATTTAAATTCCCTTGGAATTACAAGGTTCTATCTGCGTTCTGAGCACTTCTGAGATATTGAGCTGCAAAGATTTTGCATTCCTGATAACAGAACCAAAACGTGAAACACGAGTCTTTCATACATGACAATGACAGACAACCTAAATGTGTTTTAAATGTACAATATCAAAATCCTATCAAATTTGTAAATTAGTGTTTTTGGAACAAGTCAAATGCAGACAGAACCTTCTAATCCTAAGAACTCAAGTCCTGATTGGAATTATAAGGTTCTATCTGGCAAAACATGAAAAGAAGTGTTGATTTTAAAGAAACACAAACAATTCACTTGTAATTTATTTTAAAACATGAAACTAGTGTAACAGAGTGCCTATATGTATCAGAAGGTTAAATTTAATGCTTTCTATGACTTTTTTATGACATCTATTTAAATTATTTATTTATTTTTATGACTTCTGTTTCTTGTTTTAAGACAAATCACCTTTTTCTTATGCAAAAAAGCATTGCGAGTTAAGTATAAAGGTCAGTGCTAAATATTTTGTCCAGTGCGGCGGTCGATTTTAGGTAGAAACCATTAGTTTAAGTTTCCTTTAGTTAGACAGCAACCAGCTACTGTAATAAACAGTAAAGTGTTATCAAACAGAAACCAAAAATAACAATAACATTAATGATTTGCGCACATGGCAGTACAAAAGTGATATAACATTGGTATAAACACATTCTGCAATTATTCCACGTTCCATTTAAAGACATTTTACACTGTGCCTTTGTTTTATACTACTGACACTAAAAACACACACAGCATTGGTCAAAACACTTTAAAAAAGTAGTGATGGCTGAATACTGAATAGACTGTACTAAATGTATTCAGTAACAGATTCCATTACAATACATAAAAAAGTAACATATTACATTCACATTATATTTAATACATTTAGATTATATTTAAATACATATTGATTATGTACAGAACACGTCCACTACTCATTTCAGTCATCCCTCAAAAGAGTTTAGAGCTCAGATGGATAACTAGTCATAGTGATTTATCTGTCCACTCAGGCTTTAGCAGGAGCTTCAGTGTTTGTAAAGCTAATTGCTTCTTTACAGTAACTCTTTGTGCCAATTTTGAAATAGTCAATAAACAAGCATCAATAGTGTTTCTCTTAAATATGACATATTTTAAGTTTTTATTGTTATTTATATTTTTTTTAATTTAGTATTTTTTTTTTTAATTTGGGTAAGTATTTTACAAGCATTCTCCTACAAATGTAAAGGCTAATTGTATTCTGAATACTGCCTTTACAAAATGTGACTGACTGAATACAGATACTTAATTTCTGTATTCTGAATATGTATTCCCAACACTTGTATTCTGTTACATCCCAACCCTGCTCATACACTCTCAGATAAAGAAGGTGCTAAACTATCACAGGGGCAGGACTCCTCCTGTCACTGGGATGGGATGAGACTCAAGGGTACATCTCAGCACCTTTAGTCAGGGAACATAACTGTACCATAATCCATTGAAATTATATGTATTGACTCCACACACCCCGTCTCGCCTCCAGGCTTTTATTTTATTCTTCTGCTTTAAAACATTAGATTATGAAAAGGTACAAATATGTACTTTTCACCAAACTTATTTAAGGTTCACAACTGGACCTTAAAACCCCTGTTGCACTGTTGAGGGGACATTTACATTGCCTGTACCTTGACGAACGATTTATTTCTAATAGTGTACACTGCAATAAAACAGTGTTTAAATATGTTGTTGTATTCTTTTCTTGCTGCAGGCGCCCATTAGAAAAGGCTACATTGATTAACATAGCAGTGTTTGAATACAGCTGTCTGTATTGGCTGGATTTTAGGTGTGAGCTGTACGTTGTGGGAAGAGAGCAGATCTCCTAAATGAGTTGACCTCATCTGTAAATGTGGCTCTACTGTTGATTCTCTCCTAAATAATATGTGGCTGCTTAGCTTTTTGTTGCTGTCTTGCCAATTTTCATGATTTCTTTATGTGAACAGAAGCATAAATCAGCGCTAAACATCTGTGTAAGGCATAACATTATGACAGGTACTATTTGGCAGTTACACTGATGTGGCGGTGGTGTGTTTGTGTGTTGTGCTGGTACAAGTGGATCAGACACAGCAGTGCTGCTGGAGTTTTTAAACACTGTGTCCACTCACTGTCCACTCTATTAGACATTCCTACCTTGTCAGTCCACCTTGCAGATGTAAAGTCAGAGACGATAGCTCATCTGCTGCTGCACAGTTTGTGTTGGTCATCCTTTAGTCCTTCATCAGTGGTCACAGGACGCTGCCCACAGGACGCTGTTGGCTGGATATTTTTGGTTGGTGGACTATTCTCAGTCCAGCAGTGACACTGAGGTGTTTAAAAACTCCAGCAGCACTGCTGTGTCTGATCCACTCAGACCAGCACAACACACACTAACACACCACCACCACATCAGTGTTACTGCAGTGCTGAGAATGATCCACCACCCATATAGCACCTACTCTGTGAGGGTCCATGGGGGTCCTGACCACTGAAGAACAGGGTAAAAGGGGGCGAACAAAGTATGCAGAGAAACAGATGGACTACAGTCTGTAACTGTAGAACTACAAAGTGCACCTATATAGTAAGTGGAGCTGGTCATAATGTTATGCCTGATCGGTTTGTGTGCATCTGAGCATTTTGTTTGACTGCCAGCATGGACAGGCATCAGGATGGTACAACCCGTGACCTCTCACCTGCTTCGTCATAGGAGGCGGAGAGCTTGTCCAGCATCTGCTTGTCTACGTTGAGGATCTGCTGCTCTAGAATGGACTGATAAGACAGGAGGCTGTTCTCTTTCTCTTTTTCATACATCTGCAGCTGCTGCTTTAGGACTTCAGGCAGGTGGGTCTTCGCGTATTCGGCAGCCGCCTAAAGAGAAAAAGAGAAAGAAAGAGCCTTTAAGGTCAGTACTGTGACTACATGTTAGGGCGGTCACTAGTGATTGTTAGTATTTGAGAAATCTACTGATTATTTTGATGAATCGAGTAATTAGAGCTTTTCAAAAATAAATCATATATTATAAATCTACTTAACAGAAAAACACACCATACATAACAATGAAAAGAGTCTTAAGGACTTTACAGGAAAAAGATCATCTAGGAAGACTTCAACAAAACTACTCTCTTAAATAAAGATGGTTCTTCAAGGGCTCCTTAGTAAAACAGAGGGGTCTATATAGAACCATAAACAGTCAAAGAACCCATTGCGTGATTAAAGGGTTCTTTGCATTATTAAAGGGTTCTTCAGACAGACAAAGAGTGTCTTCTGCATGGTTCTATAGAACTTTTTTGAAAAGCGTTCATGATTCTATATAGAACCATTTTCTTTACTAAAGAACCCTTGAAGAACCATTTTTTTTAAGTGTGTATGTGACCAAAAATAGATAAAAATCAATCAGGCTCTGCTTTTGTGCTTTAGCAAAGAACTTAAAGTATGCATCATCATCATCATGAAAACTTAAGATTCATCAAGAAGTTCAATTTTAAGGGGGAATTCTGGCTTAAAGGTATTTATGTTATGTTACGCAGCGTTCTGTAGTGCAGCCTCATCAGTTTGACAGAATTCATGATTTCCTAGCATTTTCATGTTTTTGTTCATCAATATTCTCACACTACAATACCCAGCATTCATTACGCAAATACAACACGCAGCCATTGAGAATTCCAATAGTGCCAACCAATCCTGAGAGCCTAGCCACTGAGCTATTGGCTAATAAACACAACCAAGCTAGCATTAGCATAAAAACAGCGATTCTTTCTTTATTCAGCACTAAATGGACACCATTCATCCCTTTTAACCAGAAAAAGGGGGCAAACTGAGGTAATTGTACATGTAATGGTACAGTCAGCTCTCTTGCTAACTTAAGCTTTTAGCTTGTTGTCCTCTTCATCTGAAGACTCATTTCTATCGAGTAACACATTCTCTTTATTGTGATGGTGAGTTAAGGACAGTTTAGGTAGCTTTAACACATTTCAAAAAAAAAAACAAAATCCACTCCAGGGCAGCTGTAGTTTGTCAAACGTTCCTCCTGCCTTCAAAATAATTCAACAGAAGGGATTTTTCTAGTTTTTAAACTAGGAAATGTCTCTTTAAAGGCTACTAGGGCTCCACTGTAGGAAGTGAGCCAGCATGTTTACAACAGATCTAGCAATAGTTCCATTTTTCAATTTTGAGTTTAACTTCCTTTAACTATCAGAACAGACCTACTACATATGGTCATGTCAGTAAAGCTTAATGAACTGAACTGGGAGACAGACAGATAGAGGGAGAGAAAGGAAAGAACGAGAGAGAGAATGTTGGTAGCTAAGTCTGGCAATATTGAGAGGGAAAACCGCAATTTCGCCTTCACTATTTTTGCTTTCCCTTGCCAGGCGTCAACCTGACACCTGGCAAATTTCAATATGGGAACACCAGCCTTATTCCAGTTGCTTATTTGAGAGATAGAGAAAGAGCGCCAGAGGTGTAGGAGCAAGTTGGCAGCTCCTGCCCAGTGAAAGAGCACTAGAAGCGGCCAAAACAGCGTCAAATACAAAAAGAGCCAGAGGTTTTGAGACTGAAAAGTCACAGAGTGTTACGAATTCACAAAAAAGCTTTGATGCCTGAAGGTTAATACAAAAGTTTGCTAGTTAATAAACCACCCCAGCGAATTCGCCCAGACGAAACAACTGCAGCAGCACGAATCCTGCCTGACCTCTACTCGGGGCTGAAACGAGAACAAATCAGCAGATAAAGCGATAGCGTCTGAAGGGAGAAAAGTGCACCAGCAGCCAAACGCACTCCTTCCTAGCCCGGGACAAGCTGAGCTGGAGAAATACAACCCGCTCCGCTATCCGTTCAGCCGATGAGATAACGCACGCTGCAGCCTTTTATGGGCCAATCCCCCACATTTCCCATCAAGCATGGGCTCATTTAGAGCTAGGAGCTCAGGCCGCCCGCTTGGTAAACAGAAAAAGAAGAGGCTGGCGTAAAGAAATAGTCTGGCAAAAGATCAAATATGCACAAAATGCGGTCAATCAGCCAAGACTGAAGCTTGCTTTTTCTGTTTAGATTTGCACCGTAGCTAATGTAGCTAACAAATAATGTAAGCTTGTGGCACATCAATTGGCACTGTGCAACCTACAAGCCTAAATCAAGTGGTGAACTTGGTTATTAGAGCTAGGCCTTCAGTTTGAGCTATGAAGATAAAAAAAAAACGAGAACACACCTCTACGTTAATAATTTCAGCCAGTGCGCCATTCTAGTAGAATGTTACCACAAAGCTGACGCCTTTATGGATTACAAGCTGATGTTTGAAACTTGTATAAGACATTTCATGTTGTATTTAATTGCTTGTAACAGTAATTAACTTGTTTTACAGTGACCGTTTCAGTACAGAGTCCTGGCATAGAGCTGCTGCCACTGTTTTCCATTCCTAACAACTATAAGGAACCTGGTTAGACTACGACTCACATTCAGCAAGTGACATATCTAGAACTTCGAGAAGACCATGAAGGTCAAAAAACAAGAAAAAACACCTCTACGATAATGCTAATTTCAGCTAGCCTGCCATTCTAGTAGAATGTTACCACAAAGCTGACGCCTTTATGGATTACAAGCAGATGTTTGAAACTTGTATAAGACATTTCATGTTTTATTTGAAACTCTAGAAGACCTAGAGTGATGTTTTTCCTCACCAAACTGGTCCCGCCCTTTGGAAAGTGGTCAATCTAACATAAGGGCTTCAGTTCAGCTCCTGAAGTCCTAAACAATGGGAGAGCTCACTGAAAACTCCTGATTTGTTCATTTTTCGTTGGACATTTTTAGCATTTATCCCTTTTGTGTCCAACCAAATCTTAACAACAAAACAAGAGCATCACTACAATACTTAGAAGATTTAAAAACAGTAAGGATGATGATTCTATACAGTAAAAATGAACTTCTCTGAAGGCCTAACAGGCCCTGATGGTTCCTCACTGCCTAAATCACCTGCCTCACACTTTGTGAACCGAGCTTTTACCTGTTTATGCCTCTCATGTTATTTGACCCTCTTTTCATCCCTCGTTTGCTCTTTTTTTAGATTCGTCCTTGGACTCTGGCTGTCATATTGTTTGTTACTCTAACCTTTGACCCTCGCATGTTTACTGACTCTGGTTCCCCATGTACCTGTTTATTGCCCTCACGGTTCTGACCTGGCCTTGTTTCTCAACTACGCCTTTGGTTTGCCCCACTTATTGTTTTTACTTCTGCAAGCATCTGTTTCGTCCAAACATATCATAGCTAATCGAATACATTTAGACGAGAAAACTGTGTATTTTGATTTTTCGCCAAAATATTCTTTCTGAGCTTGCTGTTCTAGAAAGGCTAGACCTTTGGGAACCACACTGATCAACACAGTGGTGGAGAGAACTGAAACAGGGCCTGTTTGTTTCTGCTTTTGTTTCTTTGTTTTTGTTTCATCAGTGCCATCTCATGTTCTGCCTCTGTTGCTTTACTCATCAGTTTTGTGTTTTCCCCAAATATCTGACCCCCTGTCCCTCCTCGCTGTTCCCACACTCCTCCCTCTCAAAGCCCTTGAGCTCTGTGACCCTGAAACTCCCATGAGATTCCTCTCCTCCTGTACTCGCTCTTGGAGGTATGATGGACGTCTGTGCTAGCCACTCACAATTAAGCAGCAGGTGGTCTCGCACCAGGACGGTGTTTTGATTGGTGGTTTGGAATCCACGAGTTATCCTCTCCGTCTTATAAGTCAGACATGATACTCTGCTGATTTTGCCAAAGGAATTTCTTCAGGGCATGCAAACAGCTGTGCATCTCAATGTGGTAATTTAAATGTGCAAAAAGATCCCTGAGTTATGTCCTGCTGACTGAACTGCAGTGACCAAAGGAGAACATTTACAGCAACTGTGTTAAAAAGCCCACAGCAGAAAAACGAACTTCCTTCCTCGCTTTTCTGGAAGAAAAGAGTGTGATGTAGTATGTAAATGCTGTTAAAGTTTCAAAAGGTACCGAACACTCCCCAGTCCACACAGTCTGAACTGGAAGGTGAAGGGTGGTGGGGGGGTGGGGGCTTGTGAGGGCGGTAGAAGACACATCATTATCTTTTTAAGAAATCCCAAAAAGTGAGTCAGCAGGTTTAATAAATAATGTTCACGTTAAAAAGGTACGTAAATGGCTCGACTACATCCCTGCTAATGGGGTTGAGAAACTACCTGGCGACGAGAGATGATTATGAACAGTGTTGGTGTTAGGATTGGAATTAGAACCAGGTTCTAGGTTAAGGTTAAGGTTAGAGTGAGTGTTGCATTTATTCCTCTATTTAGTTCCTCTCTCTTCTACTTAATAATCATTATATTTATCATTATTGGGGTACTTTGTTACAATATTCATAGCAACATGCAGATCAGACTGAGTTTTAGTGACACAATGGAAAAAAAATAATATGATGAATATGTATATTATTCCTGTTAATAGTATTATTTATTTTTGTGTTTTATTCTTGACATTAAATGCAGGATATATCAATATGATTTGTGTAATTGCAGGCATACTTTATGTTTAAATTGCTGTATATGAGCTATAGCCTCCTGAAGCAGCACCCTCCCCCCAGCCACTCAGACCTAATTTGCATCAATTGGCTGTCTGATTACTTATGGAACTACAGTGTACTATAAGAGCAGTTGAGGCTTGGTCTAAATCAGGGTAAATCAAAACAGCTGCTATTGTGCTGCTGATGACTTGTTTTCAAGCTTTGGATTGGTACTTATGAAGAATGCAGCAATGGTCTGGGACTGCAGGGGTTCTGAACTAATTTTTATATCAAGCACCACAAGAGAGACAGCAGTTTGCTCTGAAGAGGAGAACAATGAGGCGTTACCATTATGGTGGTCTGG